AACGAAAGCCAGCATTTACATACAGTCCTCTCCTGTAGCAAGGAGTGGTACAGAGGGGGTAAGTAATTAGCACAGTGGTTGTGGGTTCTACCTACTCAGAGCAGCAAGTCTGCTACCCAGAAAGCACCAATGACTCTGAAAAGTGAAAACTGTTATTGTGGTATGAACAGTTCCAGAAATAATAATTGAAGTGATTTTGATCTTTCTCTTGGTTTTACAAAGCAATTCTATTAATTTCTGATTCTGAAATATAGAATGTATTACTTCCCCAGTTAGGCAGTCTAGCTTTTGAAAGTTATTATGTACATTAAAAGACCATCTTCATAAAATACTTTTACACAGACCCAAAAGGATTCCTAAGATACCTATTCTGTGTAGTTGCTCTTAAATGTAGTCATATCTACTACACTTAACAAGTCTTATTGTTCAGCTTCTTCAGAGAAGATAGCACAGCCTCCTTTAGTCAGATATCCCGACTTAATGTTGTAAAATTCCCTGTTTTAAACCTGCATTTGAGGTCCGTTTGAGTACCCTGTGCACATAGACTGTGCTGACTAGACCGAATGACAACACTGCCTATGACTCTATGGGGAGATACCAGGAGCTCTGACGTCATCAGTCATCTCACCTCATCATCATCGAGGACCCAGTTCTTACATGTAATCAACCCAAATCCTTTACCATTTCTACCTTGAAATGGCTATCCAGCCTTCTGGTCATCTCTGTTCAGCCTCAACCTCTCCAAGTTCTATTTCACCCTTTTTAGGGCTTTGAGTTCAGTGTTCTGAACCCTAATAAAATGATCCTTTCTCAAATCTTTATGTGACATGAGTATTTGTATAACCCTGTGATGGGTTTTGCCCCCTCAGTATATTACAGTATGACTCTGTGTTCTTTTGCCATTTGGATGCAAAGCCAATTATTCTTCATGTCATTTCAAAACTTGTGTTTGGTATTTGGACTTTTTAAAATGTACCTCCCTGCTTTTGTGTCTATCGGGCTTCGTGGTACTTGTTTCTGAGCTCAGGGCACCAAAAAGGGAGTATTGGCTTTTGGCTATTGTCAAGTCAGCAGTTCATCTGTATTCACTCTCCTGTTCATTTCTCTCTCTTTTTTTTAAGATTTTATTTATTTGACAGAGAGAGCACAAACAGGGGGAGCAGCAGAGGGAGAGGGAGAAGCAGGCTCCCCACTGAGCAGGGAGCCCAACGTAGGGCTCAATCCCAGGATCCCGGGATCATGACCCGAGCTAAAGGCAGACACTTAACCAACTGAGCCATCCAGGCACCACTCTCCTGTTCCTTTCTTGATAACTGTGTTACCTCCTTAAGTGCATTGAGTAGTTTCAACTAGCAGAAGTCTGAGCTAACCATTTTCTTGTTTTCCACTTCCTAAATGAGACACAGAATCATCTAACTGGGAGCATTCCCTTTGATGTTTGACATATAACAATAGTTAGGATTGAGTTGAGAATTATTACTTGTAGCTCTATCTCTTTTTTTAAAAAGATTTACTTAATTATTTGAGAGAGAGAGTGTGTGAGTGTGTGTGTGTGTGTGTGTGTGTGTGTGTGTGGAGGGGCAGAGGGAGAAGGAAGGTTTTTTTTTTTATGGTTCAGTCAGCCAGCACAGATCATGAGGGTCTAAACTTTGTTTGTTGTTGTTGTTGTTGTTGTTGTTGTTGTTGTTGTTGTTTTAATGAAATTTTCTTTTTTCAGTGTTCCAAGATTCATTGTTTATGCACCACACCCAGTGCTCCATGCAATACGTGGGTATTAAGGAGGGCACGTATCGCATGGAGCACCCAGAGAAGGAAAGTCTTAAGCAGACACTGTGCTAAGCGCAGAGCCCAATATGAGGCTCAATCCCACGATTGTGAGATCAGGACCTGAACCAAAACCAAGAGTCAGATGCTTAACCAACTGCACCACACAGGCACCCCAGTTCTCTTTTTGTTTGAATTCAGAATCTGCCTAATTTGCTTAGTGAAAAATTGTATCTTTAATGTCTGTTATCTTAGCAGATTGTGAATGGTCTTCTTAACTCATGGTCGTTATATTTCAGAACTTACTAAAGTATACCATCTAAATTAAAGTAGGTAGAAAACTTCTTTGTCAAGGATTTAATGAACTGACAAGTTTGAAGAACTACCTGTTTAAAATCTAGATTGATGTCATCGTACCGAGTCTCCTTCATAGCAATAGTGTAGTACAAGAGGAGGCACACTATGGCCTGGGCACCGAATCTGGCCCATAGCCTACTTTTATATATAAAGATTTATTGGAACACAGCAGTGTGCATATTGTCTGTGGCTGCTTTCATGCTACAGTGGCAGAGTTGAATAGTTGCGACAGAGACCAGATTCCCTGCAGGCCTCAAATATTCATCTGGCCCTTTACAGAAAAAGATTTCTGACACCTGCTATAGTAAAAACCCTTGAACTGGGAGAGCAGTCAGAGGACCTCAATTCTGTTTATGCTTGATTTTAACTCTTAAGTTGGCAGCAACCTTAACAGGTTGCAAAGCCTCTCCAGACCTCAGTTTCCTCACACGTAAAATGAGTCTTTTAGAATGACTCATCCGCTAAGGTTATAATTCTATAAATCCATACACTGTTTTGGAACCATTTTGCTGTTTTACATAATAGCTTTGCATTGACTATTCAAACTACATGCAGTCACTGAGTTTAGAGAACTAAATAAAGAAAACTGCTAACCATAAGACAGATAAATTAGAAACTTGCTACTATTGTCTTAAAAGAATTTACCTCTCTAAAGGCTCTTTTAAATAGTGCTTTCCTGGCATAAGTATTTCTAGATCTTTGAGTAGAGTAGTAGCTGGAACAGGCCCTGAAACATAAACTCAACATATTAAGAAACTCAGTTGAACTTCATTTGGAAAGAAAAATAAAGCATCTCTAAAATGTAGTTTCAGTGTGTGGGAAACTTTTGATATATAAAAATTCCATTCCCACCCAGCTTTTAGGGAACACGTGTGTATGTGAAATGAAATAAAGTTCTACTATAGAAAGAAGAACTCAACATTCGGTGCTGTTTCTTTTTTCATCGTGGTAACTGACTATAATGTTCCACATAGGGACCTCTCATGCATTAACCCTAGACTTCCAGAATCTAAAAAGTTGGGGCACCTGGCTGGCTCAGTAGGAAGAATATGTGACTCTCAATCTTGGAGTTGTGAATTCAAGTCCCACGTTGGGTGTAGAGATGACTTAAAAATAAAATCTTAAAAAAAAAAAAAAAAGGAAATCTAAAAAGTTGCCTGGAATGGTATCACCAAGATCATGTCTCTCTCTTTTTTTTTTTTGCCCTTCCCTTTTTGCGTTCAATTCATTTCTATGTATATTTGTAGAAAGAAATCCTAACATGCACCCCCCAAAATGAACCTTGTGGAAACATGCTTCTACTAATGTTTTCATATATTTAATAAATGCCTACACACATAAAAAATTTATCTTTTTCCCCCTCTCTAAAAAAAGGAGGGGCATACCATCTGGGTGGCTCAATTAGTTAAGTCTCCATCTCTTGATTTCAGCTCAGATCATGATCTCAGGGTTGTGAGACTGAGCCCATGTTGGGTTCCATACTGGTCATGGAGCCTGCTTAAGATATTCTCTGCCCCCTCCCTCTCTTAAAAGAAAAAAAAAGGTTTTTTTTCTTTCTTTGCAGAAAAATCCACGAGTTCAGTATTTAAAATTTATTTTTTTTAAGATTTTATTTATTTATTTGACAGACAGATCACAAGTAGGCAGAGAGGAGGCAGAGAGAGAGAGGAGGAAGCAGGCTCCCCGCCGAGCGGAGAGCCCGATGTGGGGCTCGATCCCAGGACCCTGGGATCATGACCTGAGCCGAAGGCAGAGGCTTTAAGCCACTGAGCCACCCAGATGCCCCTCAGTATTTAAAATTTAGACTTAGACTACTTAAGTGATTTGATACTTTAACTACCTAAATGAGCAATTCTACTTGGACCAGCAAAAGGCTGTGCTCATGTTCTAGCAATACATCGGTAAGCCTAAGATGGTTTATACTTCCAAAATGATTTACAGTTTGCAAAGCACTTTCGTATACAGTATGATTTTTGACAGCCCTGTACAGTAAGTTATGTCAGTTTTAATATTTTCACATTACAACTGAGAAAGACTTCAAGAGGTTAAATAAGCAACTCAAGTAGTACCAGGCAGCTGGAAAATGGCAGAGCCGTGGAACATATTTTGACCCACGGATATTTTGACAGATATTTTGACCCACGCCTAACAGACTCACAGAACTGAACATTTTCACAAAATAACTGTTATTGCTGTTCTTGTTACTGTCAAGGTTCCTGACATTCTTCCATCTAGCAGTCTGAAGGGGTGTCATGCGCTCAATAGGACAGTAATTCTCAACGAGGAGTCAGGGGAAGCTGTGTATGCTGTTTAAAGAGGCGCCTGTACTTGGTTCCGCTATGCGGCCTGACGGAGAATTATTGTCTTAGAGTAACACGTAGTCCTTGTTAACAAAGAGGGAGGGGCAAAAAATGTTAAAAAAAAAAAAAAAAAAGGACTCATTCCTATTTCCCAGAGATAATGCTGCTAGCATTTTCATATATGTTCAGTCTTTTATATCTGTATTAATCTTTGTTTTTCAAAAATGAGATCATACCATAGATTGTTTTGAAACCTTTTTTATGTAATTCACAAGCATCTTTCTGTTTTATTAAACATCCTTCAACATCCTTTCATAGTGACTGCAGAATATTCCATTTTGTGGTACATGCTGAGTTCAAGATGTAAATGGTTTCACGTACTTTCCCCAGCCCCACTGGTGTTCTCCTCGTGTATGCATATGTGATTAATTTGAAGGAATCCGGAATCATTTAAAAGCTACCCCTCTTCTAGCTGTCATCTCCTATAGGTTTGACTCTCTGAATACTCCTTTAGTTTGTTATTGAACTTTTTTGTATTTACATATTTGTTTTAATTTTTCTTCCATCTTTTTGTTTTAGGGTGCAGTACTAGCAGCTGTGTCAAGTCACAAATTCAACTCCTTCTATGGGGATCCTCCTGAAGAGTTGCCAGATTTTTCCGAAGACCCTACCTCCTCAGGTAACTGGACCGTTCATTCATTCACCAGTGTGAATCATTTGGTGTCTCATCCTTTCTCTGCAATTGTGAATAAACTTTTCCTATGAATCTAGTCACATCCCCCCAAGGAGTTCTAAGGAAGTTTGTCAGCAACCAAATCCCATCCACATGTGTCTAGTTCCTTTTAATTTTACTACTGAAGTTGCTTTCCCCTGCTGCTCCAAAACATTTTACTTTTTTCTTTTTACCTCAGAAATACTTTTCCCCCTTTCTCCACTCCAGACCCAACATTGTACTTCATCCAATCCAACATGGTGGTCATTTGTTTTGGATCTTTCTGATTGACTTATAACCCAACAAAAAACTTCTGTTGTACGATTTTCCCCATGTCAACCATAGCAGATCAGACTTTGAGACAACCCTGCTTTTAATTTTCTCTTTCAATATAAATTGTCTTGTGACTTCTTTCTCAAAACAATTTACAAGTTCTTCACTTTCGTAAAGTCTGTAACACATGTATACAAGCATTCGGGGGAGAAGAACACAGAAGAGTTACCTATTTGGATGAAATATATATAGGTACTCCTGGGGGAAAAAAAAACCCACCAGTGTTCACAAAATTATTTTATAAAACACTCAGATTTCCATTTTATTAGTGAGGTATTCTCAAGGATCATTTGTTAAAAATCCACAGTATCCATTTACATGTATATGTCTGTTATACTCTTCAAATTTCATTGATGTACATACGTATTTACATCTGAATCATATGTTCTCTGCCTTCCGCTTTTCTTCCTTCTCACATTAGAGTCACTCAGTATTTGCCATGTGGCTGACTTTGGGCTGCTGGTTTAATTTTTGTAGTTTTGGGGCTGCCCATTCAGTATTCATGTATTACCATTGGGACTCAAGGCCCAGGGCCCTTCCTAAAGCATGAATTGTTTGTCGTTCACTATTAGCAGTCTAGGAAGAATGGATGTGCTAATGCTTCTCTCCTGTTGGAACCATGAGCATTTATCAGTGTTTATGCTTCTTCTTTCTCTCTGTTTATACACATATGTGGACAAATATTCACTTCTATTTCTTACCAATTGGTATGTGCTTATTACATCTTGTGGAAAAGAACAGGATCAGGTTTCCCATTCCTGTAGCTATGTAGTTCCTCATTTTGACCTTTACCAATTGGGATGTGAATCTTCCTCTTTTGAGTAGAGGTGATTTCCAAAAATGATCAGAAATGGGAATCTTAGAAAAAAGACTCTCTGAAGAGAAGGTCTTGCTGGTTTCCTCTTGCACTGACTTTGTGATTATCCAGAGCCCTTACCACATGAAAGGCAAAGCTGTAGTTGTGTTTCTAGATGTGTTCTCCCATGCTCCCTGCTGTTCCATGTCTGTCTTTTCCTCTGCCAGTCCATTTTGTTCCCTCCCCCTGTAGCACTTGGGGTGGTGTTAGCTCAAACCTCTCTTCTCTTCTCACACTCAGTTTACAGTAGACCCATCTGGAGGGAGTGGATCCAGTAATGGTTTTATGTCATACTGTGACTACATGATACAGTCACAAATTTGGAATAGATTGAAAGATTGTAGGTCAAGGTCTAATACCATTTTCATCTTTGGAATCGGGACTAGAGAGCCATGTGGTCTTTGCAATAGCTTCACAGACCTAATCTTTAGTGTTAACCCCTTAATATGTACCTCTGCCTAGCAAAAGTTTAATGAGCTCTTAAGTGTCCCCTTCTGTTAAAGAATTGGATTTTTCTTTCAGGAAAGAGAATTGTCTATAGTTACAGACATGCTTATTTTCTGTTAAATACACTTTTATCGCCCAGGGGTTTTTTTGTTTGTTTGTTTCTCAGTTCAATTTGTAAATGATACAGTTGAAATAGTTTCTGATTGCAGCATTTGCTTTATAAACAAAAAAGAAATTTCCCACACTGTCTTGCGGGTAGCCTGCAAGCTCTCAAATTAGTTGTTCACAATTTCACATTCCCTCTTGCTTCCCTTTCCTGCAGTCACACCTTCTTTTTCCAAAATTTCGGGATCTTAATGATCTTGTAAGCAGTCTGTATCTTCATTTGACATGCAAATGGCTGCCTCTAAAATATTTTTAAATAGCAGGCTGCTATGAATAAAAGACAAAGGAATCATTATGTAGCATATGCGTCTGATCACCTCCCCTAAATGAAAAGGAAATTTTTTATGAAGTCAAAGACGAACATTTTGAAGAATATTCTAATACTTTCATAACTTTCTCACATCTATCAAGAATTATTCATATGTTCCTAAGATTAATTTTTAATACTAAGTCATTTAAAGGGAGATATTGTACTACTTTATCAGCATCATTTATCAAATAGCTCTCTACCAGCAAACTTCCTTTTCTGCAACCAGCAGTGATAGTTGTATGCTTCGTTGCAGAAAGCCTATTATGTATCTTTCTTGTCTGGACTCGCATAAGAGCTTTACACTTCCATAAATTAACACATGTATTTTCATTTTTCATTTCATTTTTTTAATGTTTTCATTTTCAAGCCTAAATTCTCGTCAATGTCATTCTAATCCTTAAATTCCTCTTCATTTATTTTAAGTTCTAACATTAACCGTTCCATTATTTTCTGTTTAAATGTGCCTGGGTTTGTTTTACAGTACAAAACACAAAGCACCTTTTAACATTACCTGAAAGTTCTCATGGCAAAAAGAGAAAAATGATCAGCGAGGCTGTGTTTGTTGGGTAGGGGTGAGGGTTCCAGGAAGGAGGGGTTAGAAAGAGAACCATGTAAGGTCACCAACTGCTATTTTTTGAGAAGGACAGTCTGTTTTTCATCTTTGGATAATGTCTGTTCTATTCTTCTGTGAAATAATGATAAGTAGGTCATTTTTTTTAATGACTTTGCTTGACAATTAAAATCCTATTTTGGTCCCCCCCAAATTTTATTTAATATCACAATTGAAAAATGAATTTTAAATGAATACATTTCCTGATCTGTCATCTAAAGAGTCTAACATGTTTAGATATGCTGTGTACATTGTAAAACAATTTTTATGTAAGAGATTATTTTTTTCTATTTTATCAAAATTAGTCCGTTATACATTCACTAGAATTTGTTGAGTTTAATCATATGATGAACAGTGTATCCTTCCTTTGTTACTTAACAGTCCAAAGTACAAATATTCTTTTCTCATATTTCAAATCAAAGAAGTCAGAATCCCAACCCAGTGTTTTAATGACTGAAATCCTTAACAGCCCCAGGGAATGTGCTCATGGAACACAAGGACTCACTTTGGGCTCAGCTGGGGGACCGTGCTTCTTATGGCTCATCTACTGGGCCCAACTGCAGCTTGATAACCTGCTTGCTCTAAAATCATACTGTTTGTTGTTTGTCCATATGCTGCCTTCCTCGTAGGACTCCTAGCAGCAGAAAGTAGGTATCCCTTTGTTTTCCTCTAAGCTTTATCTTTTATGCAAAAGTGTTTGGCTTTGCATGGTTCATAAGCAGCTTGATTTTCTCTTTGGCTGTTTGTTTAGATGTTGATTATGAATTTTAACACTGCCTGACCATAAAATCAAAACATGGCTGTACTGATTTCCTGAAGCACTGTCATACAAATAATACTAACCTCTCACTTTCATAAGAGGAAGATAGGCAGTGTTAAAATTTTAATTGCACTTAATATTATCTCACATCTGAATTTCAAGCACAAGTACATTAATTTGGGAGAAAAGGTAACATTTTATTTTATGGTTCGCTTTCAAGAAAAGTTTCAGGGTAAGTGAATTTTCTTTTGATGATTACATAATCTATAAGCAGTTTTTATTACTCTCTATAACTGACTGAATTTTTAGTTAATTAATATGGAGCTGTGGAATAAAGCCCCGAATTCATGTGTCTCAGCAACTTTTACCATCAGAAAGATCATTTATAAGGACTAATATAATGGCTGAATTTGAATTACAAAAGGACACAATTTGATTATGTGACAACATTAAAGTAAAAAGTATGTAAAAGAATTAGACACACAAATGGTACAAGTAAAACTAAGGCAATCTGAATAAGATGGCTGGATTGTATCAATGTCAGTATTCTGGGTTTGGTATTATACTATAGTTCTGTTAAATTCTCCCAATGGGGAAATGGAGCAAAGTATACACTTCTTGCAATTGCATATGAATCTACATTTATTTCAATAATTTCAATTAAGACAATAATATAAAACTTTACCTCTACATTTTGCTTACTGGCGGTAAGTATATAAGAAACAATGATAAATTAGAAAATCTGAATGCTAATAATTGAATACATTGTCACATCCTCTTACATTTGTTACATGTAGCTCCAATTGCAGCTGATTTAATATAAAAATCTCACAGTAAGGGCGCTTGGGTGGCTCAGTCATTAAGCATCTGCCTTCGGCTCAGGTCATGATCCGAGGGTCCTGGGATTGAGTCCCACATCAGGCTTCCTGCTCAGTGGGGCGTCTGCTTCTCCCTCTCCCACTCCCCCTGCTTGTGCTCCCTCTTTTCCTGTCTTTTATTCTGTCAAATAAATAAAATCTTTTTTTTTTAATCTCACAGTACATCAATTGTCTATTGCTGTGTGTTGAATCACTTCAAAGCAGGATTTATCCTCTCAAAGTTTCTGTGGGTCAGGAATCTGGGCATAGTTTAGCTGTGTGCCTCTGGCTTGGGATCTCCCATGAGACTACAGTCAAACAGTCGTCCAGGGCTGTGATCTCATCTGAAGGCCCAACTGTGGGTGGTAGGGGAAGGAAACCTCTTCCAAACTCACTGTCATGGTTGTTGACAGGCTTCAGTTCCTTACTGGCTATTGAGCCTCTCCAGAGGGCTGCTCACAACACAGAAGTTTGTTTCCCCCAGAATGAATGATCAAAGAGGAAGGGCAAAAGTAAGAGTGCCCAAGACAAAAGCTACAGTCTTTATAACCTTATCTCGGAAGTGACATCCTATCATTTCTGCCCTATTCTCTTCATTGCAAGTGAGTTAATAAGTCCAACCCACACTC